GGATCCAGACTTGGATCCTGCACCCGACTTCGAGGGAGAAGCGGAAGTCTTGGACGCGGATGTGGATCCCGCCTTGGACGCAGAGGTGGATCCCGCTTGCGAAGCCGTCTATGAGACCGGAGTCGTTTTGGGTTTGGCTTTCGGGGAAGCTCGAGCATGCTTATGGGGACGGGGGGATCCGGTGCTAGGAGCGGGAGACGCACTACGCGGACGTTCCGCAACTGATGGATCTGCCCCACTTACAGACGGGAGAGGAGCAGAGACGCTGGCAGCACGAGAAGATCCCGACAAGGGAGGAAGGGGATCCGACACGGCAGCTGTCACCAGCGCCAGTCGTCGACGAGCCAAATCCCGCTCCGATAAGCCACGATCGCGCTCCAGGACCAGCTGTTGCTGCTGAGTTTGGGCTGCAGCGAGTTGATCCCGGGGTTTCGTGGCGGTCGCAGCGGTTTCTTTCAATTTGTCACCTGGATGGACAACAACGAGTGAATATGGGGTTACTAGCAAGGACTAAAAGAGGATCCACGTACTCGTGCGGCGAAGCTTGGATTCCAGCTCTGTTTGTGCACGCTTGGCAGCCGCCCACTCGGTAGCCGCCTTGTCCCGCTGGAGCTCGCTGTCCGCCAGCTTCGCTTGGATCTCGTCGCGCAATTGAGTTATACGCACGAATTCTTCGAGCGCGTAATCTCGTCCGGCAGACGCTTTCTCGAGCGACTCCTTGGTATCTTGCAACTCCTCAGAGAGCTGAGCCAGGGCTACATCTGGCGATGAGGGAGGTGGATTTGGCGCGGGGGACCCTCCACGCGCCGACCCTAAGGCGGCTCCGCCATGGGTGGATCCCACATAGTCGTTGGTCACGACCCTTTCCTGGGTCAGACGCAACTCGTCACGGAGCCGGTCCAAGCTCGCATCCGCAGCTGCCCCAGCAGTATGGGAATCCTCCAGATCCCGCTCGAGGTCGTGGATCCGGGATTGGAGCTGGTGGATCTCAGATCCAGCGAGCGCCATCTTCCTAAGGAGATGGTCGTTGTCGTCCCGCATGCCATCTCGCTGACGGGAGGCGCGATCCAGCCGTCCGGTCAAGTCGCGGATCTCGACCGCTTGATTAGCCAACAGGAGTCGCAGGTCTTGCGAGCGAGAGGCCGCACGGTGCTCCCACCCCTGGATCACCATAGCCTGGTCATGGTCCTGGGCTCGCAAGGTTTGGAGTTGGGTGGCGTGCAAAGACGCAGCT